GGGGGGGACTGCAACAGCTGTAACATAACCCACACATTTAAAATAACAAAATTGAGTCAGCTCAGTTTACAAATGTACAGATGGCTACTAGTTGTGGGGCTGTCACTGTGGTCGAAAGCTGATCACAAGCAGTAAGACGTATACTGTACAGTAATTTGAGGTTGGCAGTGAAAGGAATTAAAAAACAAGTACAATTATAGAAAAGGCACCAAGAGCACTGACCCCAGTGTTTACCTCGATCCTGTCGTGTCTACCGTCCTTCTGAAAAGACACCAGTTTAAAAGCTTATTTGTGAATATTTTTAGGCTTCACAACGAGCCTTGAGTTTTAACTTACAGTTGGCAGCCAGAACCAAGAAGAAAAACACACACACACACACTATTATTTCAGCTTTACACCAACTGGTCCTGAAACGTAACCTGGGAATTTTTAAACTGGCATCGGCAGATGCGAACTGGATTCTCCTCGATGGGACGTTAGTCGTTGAATGTTTAAAAGCATCCGATTTCTTTGGCTCCTCGTTCTGTGAAAATAGTCATGTGCCGTGACATCCCTACAAGACCAGTCTGCATCTCTTAAAGTTTTAATTACTTCTTTTGTGTGCAGTTTTTTAAATGACGTGTTCTGATTTCCAGCAGGAGATATGAAAACGTGAGACATTTTTCTACCTTTCGCACTATTTCTTTTGTCAGGGTTTGGTCGTCTTTGTTGGAGCGAGTGGATGGTATTAAGCTGTTTACGGATTCATCTTATGATTATCTGTTTAGCAAAAGGAACTTAATTTTCTTAAGCAATATTAGCATTCACATTACTTGGCACCATTGGCAAAATTTTTTTTTTAAATAAAATAAAATAAACTCCTGGTAGCCAAAATTAAATGTAAACATATCCTTTTTTTTTTTTAAGTAATGTTACTCTGCCTTTTCTCCTAAGTCTAAATACAGTAGCTCTATTTTTATTTTTTTTGCAGTTTAGTCATGCTTTAGCAAAATGTTCTTCTAAAGAACATTTAAAATAAAGTACTCTTATAGTGAAATAAAGTTTTTTTTTGTTTCATTTTACAGACCATAGCCACTAATGCTTTGCTTGTGTTCATTTCTTTTTTCTTGATTTCATGCACATATCTCTTTGTTTTAATATATACAATATATACAAACAATACATCCACATTTTTCTTGCTCATTCAGACAAAACTATACAAATAATTTTATCTTGCCATGTTATTGACCTTTGTGAATAAAATATTTAGCAATTAATATAATCCCTTTCAAATATTTCTCACTTTCCATCTCTACCTTCTATATATATACACAGAAACTGCTCTGTTTGGATGAGATATAGCCAAAAATATGGAATTTACTGGCCAGAACGCAGCACCACACTGATCTTTTAGGTGGCAAATGTCCAGGCAAGGTTTATGATTCCTCAGAATGACTACACTTCCCAGGGTTACTGGAGAAAGCTACATGCTCTACGGATTCTCTAAGTAACCCCCATTGCACATGAAAGTAAGGCAAAAAAATTAAAGTGCTGAACATGAGAAAAGGGACACGATGAGTCCTCGCAGGTTCCTGGGGTGGGGGGTGGGGGGTGGGGACAAGAAAATAAATCTTCACTCTGGAAGCGGTTTCTCCTCAGTTCCCATGCATTACCCGTTTGCCACGCCCGCCCCTCTGCAAATTTCCACAAGACATTTAAAAACCTGCAGATTTTTAAAAAGTTGCATTAAGTGTGCTGTCGAGGTTAAAACAAGAACAAACGGAACAGTGAAGGAAATGAGAACGCACGGACGCAATAAAGATTGGGGTGATCTAAGCCCTCCGCTGACAACGAATCCCGAAGATTCAGCCTCTTGGAAGCCACTGGCAGGTGCGGGAGCAGCGTTCTCGTGTTGCCAGCGCATCCCCACCGCTTCTCCCCTGTATTTTTGGTATAAATATTTGTACAGTTCCACGCGATGTTTGAGTACAGCCCTATGTGAGCAGGAAAGCGGCCGCTTCCCCAGGGGGAGCCTCTCTCCCTTCCTCGCGGCGTCTGGTTTTCCCGCGACCCAACAGAAGGTTGAGTTCCATGATGTCTCGCTGATCAAATTAAAAGTTGTCCATGAAAGTGCAAATGCAATGAACGAAACATTCCTGTTAAAATCCTGCAGCTGATCTCTCCAAAACTGCAGAGGGATTGTGTGTGTGTGTGCGTGTGTGTGTGCGCGCGCTTGTGTGTTGTTGCATGTCTCTGCTAAAAACAGAAATGAAAACAGTCTGAAAAGCAATGTCACATTGCTAAGGGATGCTGCTGTATGTCTTCAAGTTCCTTGGCCTTTTTCAATTCTTTCACTCTGCAAGAGAAACAAAACAGAACACCAGGTGGTAACTATAGAGTGAAACTGACCCAACCCAGGAAAGGGCATTCCCATTCCCTCTAAAGTGAAAAAAAAAAAGAAGAAGAAGAAAAAGACCATTTGAGGATTGATGCCAAAAGAACCCGTTTAACTGCTGGGGGACATACTCCAGAGGAAGGGGGGCCCTTCCTGAACCCCAGCTCTGCCGCCACCTGCTCCCAACACAAAGCAGAACCGAAACCCACTTCACGAATCGAGCACAACAGTCACGTGTGTGTCTCAGACGGTGTTAACTGTTCAAACAGCTTTCTTCTCGGCCCGGTGGACACCCTGAGTGCCCTGTAATTCCCGGTGACGCAAGTTCGGGGACCTGCACACGCCTCTATGCGGGTGCGGCCTGGCCTAGGAAACCAGCTGCCTTTGCTCACAGACTCAAGGGTGTCAGAGGTCTTGGCCCTGAGCTCACCCCAGGGGCGTCTGGTGTTCATGCTCCTGACGTGCTTCCCAGAGGAGATGTTCTGGTCACCGCCCCGTGCTCCCAGGGGGGCAGCAAAAGGGGGCAATGCACGTAAGGGACTCGGTTCCAGGTGTTCCACATGGTGTGCTAACCACATGCAAATGCACCTGTTACAGAGTCCTGGGAAGTCGGTATCAGCAAATGATTGGTTACTGACCACCCCCGGTCTGTTTTCATGTAAACACTCGCCGTGGTGGTTTAGGGGGGCCCGGATGCAGACGAGGGACCAGGGCAGAGGCCGTGAGCACCGAGAAGAGCTCTCCTCACTGACCAATCAAGACCCGCCGTCACGGCGGAAGGACCCCGTGCCAGTGACTCCGGGGTCTAGCCTCCCAGGCCGGTGCCCGCCGCGGGCATCACGGGCAGCTCGCAGCCCTGAGAGCCCCATGGTAACGTCTGCTTCCCAAACACGGGAGGGGTGGCGGCGGCCAGCAGAGGGGCGGTTTCCCAGGGCGGGGCTGTACGTGCACAGCCTGGCGCCTTTCGGACCCGGACCTCTAACAGGGAGGTCAGTAATCCCACACAGTTTCAGGTCTCGGGGTGTCATGCCTCTCCTGGGACCTGCAGTTATATCAGCACATTCACATTTCACTGCAAAGCAAATGCTAGTTTACTTTCTGGATAAAGTCGAGCGGGCAGAAAACGTTCTGGAAACCCCGTGGGGAGGAGACGTTCGAAACCCCGCGGCGAATTATCCGGGCGTCGGTGACAGAGGCTGGGACAGCCGTTCAAGGCGCGGTTCTATTTACGGCCTCCGCGCAGAACCGCTTCTCAGGGAAGACGCTCCCTTCGCACCGTCATTAAGACGAAAGGGCAGGACAGCCGTGGGCGCCTTGCTCCTCTGATTGGCTGCGGCATTCAGCGAGCCCAGCTCCATCAAACCGGGGATCTTCAGGACGGTTAAATCCCTTTCTTAACAGGCGCATTTAGAAACCGTTGCTGTGTTCACAACGGCACCCAGGCATTTACTTAGTTTTAAATTTTGTAAGGAAATAGACCGTGGGTTAGGAAGTGTTCGGGTAACCCGGGTATGGCCACACAGAGGGGTGCATCCTTCTAGGTCCCTGATTTCGGACATGCAGACTTGATCAGTCGGTGGCGTTTTAAAAATTGAAACATGCTAGAGTCTGGGTTCAATTTTTAAACATGCAACGTCTATACTAGCAGCTCTTTGGCTGGAGAAATGCAAGGCATGCAGCGATGCCACGTGTACTTCCGGGCATGCAACTGTCTGCGCCTGCGCAGACCTCAGGTGCTGAGTTAGGGCAGGATGTGCATGCTGCTTCGAGTGCCACACTGTATCTCCGCGCTCCCGCAGGACTCATTCACAGATATGCACATGGCTCCAGCGCCGAGGAGACCTCTAGAGGGAGAATCCTTAACTCCAAACCTGACAGCATAAACCAAAGACAGCCGTTCCGTTTTCTAGAGGGACACAGGGATGCTTTAAAAATACCCAGTTCCTCATCGAGGTGAGATGAAAGGACAGTGAAGTATTACCAGAAACGTTTTACCGTTTCACACGAAAGACACTGTCGTCAGCTGGTCACGACGGGTCTAGCCTGAAGTTTTCTTTAGTTAAAATGGCCACGTTTGTGTTTGCAGTTTCTTTCTGAAATAAAAAGCCAGCTAAGTTTTCATAAGGTTTTTAGGCTGCCATGTAAATACTCTGCCATGAAACGAGTGACTGCCTTGCACACCGCTAAGGGCAGAGATGGCTACGGCAGTTGACAAGGGAAAAGGAGACACGGAGGTCGTCCGGAGACAGTTTCAGATCCATCTAACTCCCGAGCTAATGTGGAGAATCCATTCCCAGCTTCGTGCTGAGGTGTGCAGACACTGGCCTCGTGACATCGAAATGTCTCAGGTAGCCGGGCTGTGGTGGCTCAATGGATTGAGCGTCGTCCCATGGCCCAAGAGGTCCTGGGTTCTACTCCCAGTCGGGGCACACGCCTGGGTTGCGGGTTCGATCCCCAGTGGGGGGTGTGCAGGAGGCAGCCGATCGACGAGTCTCTCTCATTATTCATGTTTCTATCTCTCTCCCCCTCTCCCTTCTTCTCTGAAATCAATAAAAAAATGACTCAGGTATGTTTTTAAAAACAGGAAGTCATTGCAGAAGGACTTGTGGGAAAAGGGAAGAGAACACTTATGTTCCAATAGCTGCACAGGTGACTGAAAACTTGTTACCTTCTCTAGTCCTCATGACACCGCCTTCTCCCCAGTTTGTAAATGGACAGATGGGATTGATGGACGTGAGCAGCTGCCCCGTCAGCTGATGCTCCAGTTAACAGACGGCAGTGCAGGGGTTCGAGGCCATGTGCTGCTTCCAGGTCTCAGGAGAACAAAGGAGTGTTTCTCAGGTTCTGACTTTATTGGTTTTCCCCAAAACACTTGACAGAAGATGCATCTGAAAAAGTCCCTGGCCTGAGATAAGTGTGTTGCTGAAAACCGATGACAGCAATCGCATTTTCCCATTCTCAGATGTCGTCCTCTGTATGACCCCATCGTGAGTTTATTCCAACATTTTAGGGAGAAAAAGTACCTCCCCATCAAATGCACGTGTCGATTTCTCAACATAGATTCGAGACGTGAAAAGAGTGGGCCTAAGAATCAGGGGAATGGAAAGATTTTTACCTTCGTTCTCCAAGCCGCGGTGTGTAGACCCCGCTAAGGCTCTCACAGTCTGCCCTATGGGAACCCGGATGGAGTTCCATGGGACCGGAGGGCAGTGTCGGGGTAAGAGAGGTGTCTGATTGTTTTCAATCAATTATCAATCCAATAAAGTATGTGTGAATGTCGCACTGTCTCCAAAGACACAGAAAACGAGTTCTCTTACTGGAGTGGTTCAGAACAACACCCGATACTGTCATTTTTTGTTAACGAATTCTAGGGACTAGAGGTTTCAAATCAGAGTGTTTCCGATAGTTACAGGAACTTGTTGTTGGTTCGTCTTAGCCAAGTTACAAATACTCCCTAAAACGCACAGGTCAACTAAAACCCTACCGACCACAGTAAGGACACACAACAGCAGGCCCACAGTCACCATCTCGGGGAGAGTCTACTTGCTTACTCGTATTTCCGAGCTAGAATGAGTGGGGAGCTCA